TACGTGGACCTGGCCTGCTCCGCGGTGAGCTCGGAGCCCGCCACATACGCATCCAGCTTATCGAGACAGGGCTGCCATTCCACTGGAGGCGCCGGAGCTGTTCCCGCTGGCAGCTCATCTGGGAGAGGTCGAGGCGCTGGTCAGCACGCGACTTTGGGACAGATGTTCCCATCACGAGCTTCACTGGGTGGTGCGTTGACAATTCCGTGTCAGCGATTCCCCCGCACTGACCGCAGAGAAGTCACCCAGCCTCCAGGCACGACGAAAGAATCATGGTGCGCCACTCCTCGCCCACTCTGCACGTGGGCGTCCCAATATCCCAAGGGCTCTGAGGTCCTCGACCGGGGCGGCGCGTTAAAGTCACCTCCAGTCACAGAGGGCTTTCCAGAGGAGCGCAAGAACTCTCCAAGTTGCATTAATTAGTGTTTGGCGCCCTAGGGCACCCGCTCCATCCCCAGACGGTAAATGCACAGATGAGCATAAGATACTTCCTTGGACCAATCCACCCATCCACATCTCGGCAAGTCTCGATGAGGGCCTCGGCATGCCTTCCTTGTGGCCCATACCTACACCTTTCCTACACGCAGCTCCTACCCCCGAAGACGGCCCTCCAGACTGGGTCCTCTCTCCGGCTTCGAACCTAACGTTCCACCCTGCTTTCATCAGGGTGCTAGATGCTTGGGCCAAGTCGGCCTGCTCGACTTTGCATTCCTGGAGGAAGCAGGTGGCCCCATCGCACGCCTCCTGAATATTTGACATCGTGGCCAGCTCATGACGTTGGCAGTGAACAAAAGACCAGCAAGGGCTAAACCCACGACCTACTACCCTTGGATATGGCCGACCGTCCGCCTGGACTCCTGTTGCGCGCCTTGTCTCGCTTGCCCAGGTCCGCCGCTCGAGCTCGATGCGCTCCGAGGCTTTGCTGAACAGCGCCTGCAAGACGGCCGCACATCAGGGCCATCGAGCTTGTCATGTGACTCAAACTCAGCTCGAAGATCGATTAGAGTCAACCCGCATAGTAAGGATCGGCAACCTTCCCAAGGGTACCCTTGCATCCTTGCCTCCTCGGTCCATCCTTGGCCAGTTTCGTTGGCCGCGTTGTGCTCGAACAGCTTCGAAGTGGCCCTCCAAGGCCCTTGCATCCTTGTCCCGCATCCTTGTTCTACGGGCTGACTGTAGAGCAGCACCACCTGCTTCAGCCGTGGTCGCACCTCCGGCAGCCTCCCCCGCGGACGCCGCTTGGCGCCCAGCCCTCCTCCGCTGCCGGCCGCCACGCCCGGGCGCGGAGCTGCCTGGCCTGGCGGAGTGGGGGCTGCAGCCTCCCTGCCCTTCGTGACCACCTCCTCCACGGCCGCCGAGAAAGCCTCGTACACATTGTTCGTTCCTACTTCTTCCAAAGTTCTTTGATTTTCTGCGAGGCCTGGATCCTTCCATTTCTAATTGTTCTATCCTGGGCCTCTTCCTGGCCACTAGGGGGCCAGGAACTTTATAGAAATGAGCACGATTAGAAATGAACGACGTGTACGCCTCCTCCATGGCCGCCGAGAAAGCCTTGTACAGTCAACCCACGTAGCAAGGATGGGCAACCTTCCCAAGGGTACCCTTGCAGCCTTGACTCCTCGGTCCATCCTTCGCCGCCTTCGCTGGCCGCGCCCCGCTCGAGAAGCTTCGAAATGGGCGTCCAAGGCCCTTGCCTCCTCATCGCGCATCCTTACTACGCTAGTTGACTGCACGCCGCCTGCAGCTGCGGGGCCACCTCCCACTGCCGCCCGAAGCTGGCCCAGCGCCCCCCCTTGGCTCGGCGTCTCGACCTCGGCCGCCGCGGCCGCGCCGGATGCCTGGGCCGACCCCGGGCTCTGCGCCGCCCGCGCCCTGGCCTCGCGCAGCTGGGCCTCCGTCGGCTCCAGCTGCTGCCTGGCCTCCGCGACCGCGCTGATGGCGAGCTCCGCCGCGAGACTCTGCATCTGATGCAGTACCTGCCGCGGGCACTCAAGTACTCGCGGCTGGTTTGACGGCCCAGCCTCCGATTTGGCGGTCGACCGCCAGAATGGCGATTCGACCGCCAGAACGGCGGTTCGACCTTCATTCTGGCGTCCGCCGCAAGAGCGAACGTTGATCTGGCGGCCCAGAAAAAAAAGATCCTTTGGGCTGCCGATCTGCAAGTTTGGCTGCTGCGCCTCCGCCTGCGCTCCCTGCAGCCCAAAGTTGGCCACGACGCGGGCGCGGGCGAGCTGATCCTTTTACGTATGCGATTGCGACAGACTCTGAACTGAGACGGCAAACTGCTCCTCATCCATGCGAAGCCGCACCTTGCGCCCTTCGGGCGCGAGCGGCCTGGCCGTCGTCCCGCCACCCGGCCCCTTGCCAGGGCCTCGCTGCAGAACTCCGCCTCCGCCATGAGAGGGGTTCAATTGGTTACAAGTAGGTAAGTAGTGCCAGGTTCGCCCTGTCGTGAGTCCGCCGCGCGGCGCTAGTGGGTAAGTCATCCAGGTTCATGCCGTCGTTCGTCGTCGCGGCCACCACTTGACTTGGGGGCGCGCCGCTCGTCGCTCCTCGAAATCAACCAATCGGGGCATGTGGTTTCCGTTGTTTGTCGTCGCCCCGGCTAATGGGATTTCAGTCTCACCAGGGCCATTGGGCCCCCGGGCCCCCTGGTCTCTGGACGGGCCGCCGCCGCCGAACCCGATGCGTGAGAAGTGCACCTAGTGTTCGGGGCCGCCGCCGTGCCGCCACCGCGAGTTCGCGGCGGGGTATCGCGCCGAGATGTGCCGAGCCCGCCCGCCGCCGAAAGACGAGAGTGGCGCCAGTTGCGTGCATGGTTGCGTTCGGCCCCAGCTCCTTCTGTGGGTTATATCAACTAATTTCAGGAATTCTGCTTCGTGGAAAGAATGTTTTTGGGTTTTCGCTGATTCGTTCAGGAATTGATTCATCTAAAGTTCGCAGGTTTACGCAAAAGTGTTATGTTTATCAAGTTAGTTGCTTATCCCGAAAAGTTAGTTTTTAGAGGTTAGAGGTTGTTGTATGTGTTGTTCGTCGTTGAGTAGGGTAGTTCACGTCGACATGCGAGTGTGTTTGTCGTTTTTTCGAGAAGGGTGGGCATGTGTCTTCATGTCGCGTTGTTTGTCGATGGAACAGGGACTTCAGTATTCCGGAAAATCAGTTCGTTTGTCGCTTTTCCACGACATGTAGTTCAATCTAGAGAGACCCCTCTCATCTTCCGCCTTGGGGTCCGTCACGCTTGTCATCGCTGGTGGCCTGATTCTTGCATCCTTTCCCTCCATCCTGGAAGGTTGGCGGCCTTCTGTACCATACGCCTCCAGGCACCGCGTGCGGTGACCACTGCTGCACTGGCTGAACTGCTTGAAGGAGATATCATCTGTCACAACCAGCCTGGCGGCAGGTGCGGCGATGCCCGTAGTTGAAGAACGCACTCTTGCCACAGTTCCACCTTGGCGCCATGGCTGACAATGTCCCGTCCTGACTGAACTGAACCACGGCCGCGCAGGCGGCTCGCCATGGCAACGAATGCGCTCGCAAAGCCTCGGCCTCATGTCGGCCCCGAGAGTAGCCACGGAGGGGCCAAAGCTAATCGCTACTTGTCGGGCGTCTATAGCCCTTCAGAGCGTTTAGCCTTGAGCCAAAATGGCTACGGACCTCCTCTTCCTCCTCCTCCTCCTCCTCCTCCTCCTCCTCCTCCTCCTCCTCCTCCTCCTCCTCCTCCCACTCCTCCCAAAAAAGAAAAATCCTCCTCCTCCTCCTCCTCCTTCTCCTCCTCCTCCTCCTCCTCCTCCTCCTCCTCCTCTATCGATTGATCGATTCATCGATCGGTCGATCGACGCCCACCTGCGCCCAGCCCCCTCGTGGTGCAGCGGGCGCGGGCGGGAGCGGCCGGCAGCGAAGCCGCGCGCGCGCGCTTTCGCACGCGCACGGCCTGCACTCGGGATGCTCGCCTTGGCTCTCCACGGGGGCGCGCCTGGGGCGCATCTCGGAGGCCTCTTGCGGCCTCCTTCCGGGGGCCTCCTCTCGGGAGCCCAGTGGGGGGGGCCTCTCGGGGAAGGCCGCCTCGGAGGCTTCTTGCACCCCTCTTCTTGGGGGGTTCTTGGTCCGTCTTGGGCGACCTCGGGGCAGAACGAGGCGGGCGGGCGAAGAGTGCGCAGGCGTGCGGTCGGGGGCGCACGACGACCCGGGTATCCAACTCTGGGCAAGCTGGGCGTGCGTGGCCCAAGCCAGGCGCCCCGGGCCTCTGGAGAAGCCGCGCGGCGCGCCCCAGGAGTCCACGCGAGACGCCCCAGGAGAACCGCAAGATGGGTTTCTGGGGCGTCGGGAGAGAGCTTGCGGGGGGGGCCGAAATGAAGAGCGGGAGCTCCTCCTCCTCCTCCTCCTCCTCCGCCTCCTCCTCCTCCTCCTCCTCCTCCTCCTCCTCCTCCGCCTCCTCCTCCTCCTCCTCCTCCTCCTCCTCCTTCTCCTCCTCCTCCTCCTCCTCCCCACTGGGCCACGAAACGCGTGAGGGGCCCGGCGCACAGAGAGTCCGTTTCTGGGCCCTGCGTCACGGTGGTGGATTGGCGAGTGGCCCGTGAGACGGCAGTACCTTTGACGCCTCGCCTGAGCCCTTCCCGTCGGATCCAGACCGCAGGGCGGCTCGCAAGAGTACAGCGCCCACAGCATCATAAGGGATCCCGCATGTCTGTGTCCACCGCTAGTCAAGGCGGGGAGACAAGGTAAGATATTCGACGGGAACACGAAGACGAGGTGGAGGATGGGGAGACGCTGGGAGGCGGGGGGGAGTCGAGGGGAGGGGAGGGCGGAGATGCAACGGCGAGGCGGGATCAGAACGGAAGACGATGCGGTGGATGAGCAGCCGCTGTTATGTGAAAGGACGAGCGTGGCAATTAGTAACCGAAGGAAGGGTGTTTGAGAGGCAAACTCCTCCGCTCGCTATAATCATCGCCATCACCAGTTCGTGCTTCCCCTCATCCGCCCCGCTTTTCCTCACGCTTCAGGACGAGAGCATGTCGCTGCTAGGACCGCACCCCGAGGACAACGACACCGACCATTTGGTTGACAGCAGCGATGGAGGCGCAACCGGAGGCTTCGCGACAAGCGGAGGAGGGGGAAGGAGCAGCAGGAGGAGGACGGGAGGGAGACGACATGGGGAGGGGGCGGAGCTGCAGTGGCCCCTCGCCACAGGGTAGCTGGGGGTAGCGCAGGAGGGGCACAGGAAGAGGGGCCGAGGACAAACCGGGCGCGCTCGCGTCCTGTCTGACGTCATCCCCCTCCCTCCCATCCCCTACCGTGGCGTGGGTCGCCTCGCTATTCCTACGGTCGGATGTCGTAGCAGGGCATAGCATCACATGGCATAGCATGGTGTTGAAGATCAGCGCGTAGCCTGACATAGCATGGCGTGGCGACGCTCCAAAGTGGGGGGGGCTTCTGCGACCCCAAAAATCGACGAATCGGCACCGAATATGGAATCACTTCCGATGGTTGTTTCGGGGGGGCGTTTTTTAGATTTTGGGGCCTACGTGGAAGGACCGAAAACCGCGCCGTGGGACGGCGCTGGAAATAATGACGCCAGCGCTGCAGCGGGAGCACGATTCGGAACGAGCGGAAGCGCGGAAAAGAGGCCAGCGCTGCAGCGGGAGCACGATTCGGAGGACGCGCAGCCTGACATAGCATGGCGCGGCGACGCCCCAAAGTGGGGGTCTTCTCCGGTCCCTAAAATCGATGAATCGACACCGAATGTGTAATCACTTCTGATAGATTTTCGTGGAGACATTTTTGAGATTTGGGGGCCTATTTGGAAGGACCGAGTAGCATGTGGGATGGCGCTGGAAATAATGACGCCAGCGCTGCAGCGGGAGCACGATTCGGAACGAGCGGAAGCGCGGAAAAGAGGCCAGCGCTGCAGCGGGAGCACGATTCGGAGGACGCGCAGCCTGACATAGCATGGCGCGGCGACGCCCCAAAGTGGGGGTCTTCTCCGGTCCCTAAAATCGATGAATCGACACCGAATGTGTAATCACTTCTGATAGATTTTCGTGGAGACATTTTCGAGATTTGGGGGCCTATTTGGAAGGACCGAGTACCATGCCGTGGCATGGCGCTGGAAATAATGACGCCAGCACTGCAGCGGGAGCACGATTCGGAACGAGCGGAAGCGCGGAATTGAGGCCAGCGCTGCAGCGGGAGCACGATTCGGAACGAGCGGTAGCCCGAAAATGAGGCCAGCGTCTTCAGCGAGAGCATCAGTTTGGAAACAACTATCGAAAGTTCATGTCCCGGGAATCCTGTGTGACAAACTCGTCGTAGAGAGGGGCCGGATTTTTCTCGGACGTCATTGGGGCAGAGAGGAGAGCAGTACTCATGCTGTGAAATTGTGGAGGAGGAGGAGGAGGAGGAGGAGAAGAAACAGCAGGCGGATGTGGGAAATTGCAAGAGAAAGGCAACGTAGAAGGAGGAGGAGGAGGAGGCGGAGGGGTGAGGACGGGAAGCCACAGTGGCATGTTCCCAGAGGGCGCCTCACAGCGGACGGAGCGGATGGTGGCCGTGCCCAGAGGAGGTGCAGAAGGGGCAGGAACAGGAGGAAGCGTCAAAGGACGGGCGGAAGAGTGAGTCGGAGGATGATTCGTATGAGTTTGACCGTGACCATCAAATCAATTTCAGCGTGAATGTATACGTACGCGTGGCGGTGGCAAGTTTATACAAGTTTTATGCTCCTCGATGGTGAAAGCCTCAGGCCAAACACCACGAAGCACACGATCAATGCACTCTGCTCCAGCAGGGGTAACCTGATGGGTGCACGAACGACCTATGCTAGGCAATTCGGAACTAGCGTAACGCGAAACTCATCTACGGGACCAGAGTCTAGGTTGGGTATAATATCGCATGGGGGGATCGGGCTCTGCCGATCTACGAGCTACGGGGAAGTGTGCACGCAGGATGGCTTAACGTTTGCGTTTCCGTTATAGTTAGCAGGCTGGAAACACAAGGACCGAAGTCAGACAATGTATGTCTTGTTTTCTGAGGCTGGACCGCTTTGAAAACAACGCCTCCCAGAGTCATCTAGGCCGCGTGAGGCGTCAGACAAACACAGATTTTGACAGAGTTCCAGAGAAAATTATGACGTCGTTTTGTGGAGCGCTACGCGCGCAGTTGTAAGAGTAGCCGAGAGGGAAATCGAAGGCGTGAAGAACTCCAGGGAATCGTTGGCACACAATTGGATCGTTGAGGGCGGTTGGGACGATCGGATGTGCGCGGGCATCGGTAGCGGTGGCGCGGTTCGCACATGGAGGCGCACTAGTTTCACGTTTCGAGCGCGGACGTGTCCAGGGCCGGGGGCACTGGCAGTGCGGTCGGGGCCATCTAGGTGGCCACATGCGAACCCTACCCCTACCCCCCACGATTTCTGAGGGGGAGGGTAGGGTTCACTTCACTCGGGAGCTCCCGAGCGAGGGGAACCCCACCCTCCCCCTCTGAACTCGTGGGGGGGGGGTAGGGTTCGCATGTGGCCCCCTACAGTCGGGGCGCTGAAGAAGGAACCCTTTTCGTTGGGGAAGGGCTCGGTGTTCCTTGATTGTTTCAAAGTCTGCCTCGGGTTTCCCCGAGGTTTTCCATGGAAAGTCGAGGTTGAACTTATGGGAAAAGGGGCCTCGTTCCTTATTTTGGGTTCCTTAAGGTCAACGCAGCGCCTGCACCATCACCACCCCCACGATGCTGTTGCCTCCTCCTCCTCCTCCTCCTCCTCCTCCTCCTCCTCCTCCTCCTCCTCCTCCTCCCTCCTCCTCCTCCTCCTCCTCCTCCTCCCCCCCTCCTCGGGTCGCCTACGGCCCCGGGGGAAACCGTGCAGGTGGGGGTAGGGTTCGCATGTGGCCCCCTACCAGCACCACCCCCGCGATGCTGCTGCCCCCCCCCCCACCCGGGTCGCGCGGCGACGTGCCGAGCGCCGCCGCAGGCAGCTTCCAGAGGGCCCCCGGGCCACCGGGAGCCCTGGCGCGCCGCATGTCGTGGGCCGTGCGTGCCTCGCAGAGTTCGCGGCAGAGGTTCGCTCTCGCCCCGCAGATCGAGAAGCGTGTCTCGAGGAGCTTCGGCCAGCTCCGGGAGCGCTTCTGTCTGCCAAGGTTTCGGCCGTGGCGGGTGATTCCTAGAGGTTCCCAGGGGATTCCGGACAGGCTCGGGCGCGGAAGCTCGGCGCGCCACGGGCTCCAGTCTTGGTCACTAGGCAGCTCGGCCTGCGGGTGGTCCCCGACGCCCGGGTGTCAGATTGCCGGCCAGAGGCGGGCGAGTGGCGGGCGCCTCGCCCGATGTCTCTGCAGCGGCGAGCTCGGTTCCGAAGGCCCGCGGGGCCTGCGGGCCATTCGCGTGGCTGTCGACGCCCCCGCGCGGGCCTTCCGTGGCGCGCCCATGCGCAGTAGTGGCCACAGGTGGCCAGATTTGCTGCGGAGACGTCGTCTCCGCCACGTCACATCTCCTGTGTCGTGAAATCGACAGCGCCCAAGGCGTGGCAAGCCTTTGGCGGCGCCGCGTGGGACTCGAAAACATCGCACACGGAGTTCATCCGTGCTAGATGTTGTGCTTGGGGGAGTGTGAAAGAGAGAGGGAGAGAGCAGCAACCTTGAAAAGGAGGGTCACCAATCGAGGAGGACGACGATTTTGCTTTTTAGGAGCAATGACGTCCCCTTGTCTGGTACGTATCGAACGGTGCCCGAACTGGCAGCAATCTAACAAATCGCGCCCGTCGCGGGCCCCCAGAGGGCCCCAAACCGTTTGAAATGTCGAAAAGGCCAACAGAAGTCGTAGTTAAAGGAACACTTTTTTAGGATCAATAACGGCCCCAAGAACCCCTTGGATACCCCAAGAGGCCCCAGCGACCCTCACAAAGCCCCCACTGGGCCCCCGAGGGGCCCCCGAGAGGACCCGTGAGTGCGCGCGTCGAGGTGCGAGTGATTGCGCGTGAGCATCTCTGGGGCTGCTCTCGTTAAGCACTGAAGCAATTCATGGCAGTTCCTTCCCTTACCGTTTTGGCTCAGTGCTGTGGGCGAGCCCGACATGCGACAAAACGGTCACATCCGTTGTTTTTGGTGGTTTTTTACAAACATGTTGTTGCCATATAACGTTTGGTCTTCCTCGTGCTTTCCCAGGCCGCCCCACAGCGCTCAGGTCCGTCATGTCGCTGGGTGTGCACTGCACAGGCATGCTCCACGAGGGCCCCCGAGAGGCCCAAAGCCTTGAAACACGCAGGGCGAATGCGTGTTGTGCATGGCTTGCCACCGATGTGCTCATGAGGGGGGCCCAAGGCCTCAGCTCCCACGGTCAAGTTGAGCGGTCAGCCAACTTGAGCATGGCTTGCCACCGATGTGCTCATCGTAGAGTTGGTCAACCCCTTCTACGATGGGCCTTGGCAAAGCACGGTCGAGTACCACCCCTTCTACGATGAGCACATCGGTGGCAAGCCAAGGCCTCAGCTCCCACCGTGGCTGCACGGTCGAGGCCTCAAGATGACCGAAATAGGGTCCCAAGGCCACAGCTCCCACGCCATGCCCCAACGGGCACGGGCGGGCCCCCCCGCGGAGCGCGCGTTCCCCCTTATCCCCCCCCCCTGCCTGAAGCCCTCTCGTTCCCCCCCTCCTCAGCCTCCCCCCCCCCTTGGCCACAGGCGTTCGAATGTCCTCTCATCCCACCCCCCATCTCCTCCCTCTGGGAGCCCTCCTCTTCCTCAGCCTCCACATCCCCATCATAATCATCATCCCCCTTCCTGCCCTCCTCAATGTCCTCCTCCCCAAGTTCAAACTCAGACTCAAACAAACTCAAACCCATCCCTCACAACCTCCTTCTCCTCTTCCCCCTCCTCCTTTGTATGCAAGCCCAAAGTAAGGATCAAGTCTGTAGCGTTCTTGGGCGAATGTGAGACAGAAAAAGTCAGACTCGGGGCACTGGTAGCTGGTGGGCGCCGCAGAAACAGCTGTGAAGAGAGAATGGCGGCAAAGAGTAGAACCGTAAGTAGGCGCCCGCCAGATACAGGAAGCATGATGTACCTTAGAAAGTCACCGACGAACCACACATATTACATGTCACAGCTACGCATCCTCTAGGTACAAACTGCCTCCGACATGAGAAAGCAAGAGGATGTAATCGTGGGGCTGTTGCCCTAAAAAGTCAGGGTGCGTGCTGCTTATGTTAGCAGTTTCTAAATGACAGGTGCCTGCATAGGATGTGTACAATTCTCGGGCTGCTACCCTTAAAGGTCAAAACATGTGCTTCATGTGCGGGAGCAGTCAAAGAAACTGAAGGTGACCGAAGTTGGTCGGTGCTGCAGCGCCTGGTGAATCACGATGTGCCTCCTCCAGCTCCGTGGTACATATACCACCACCCCACGTATAGATTCAGGCTTGCCGTCAAAGGAATCAAGTGAGCAGATGTCTGCATAGCATGTGTGCAATTATTGGACTGCTGCCCTTCAAAAGCAAAACAAATGCTGCCGTACAGGAGCAGTCAAAGAATCTTAGGTGACCGAAGCTGATCGGTGCTGCAGCGCCTGGTGTCAGAGTGTTAGGCTGGCCTGTCTGACTGGCCTGTCAGAGGCTAAAGCGCGCGAGTACGACTTTGCTGATGTCATGTCGTTTGTACTGTGCTGCGCAGACGGGTCTGGCAGCAAGAACGCGGTAACACAAGATGTAGCAGTTCTTGGGTTTCTGCCCCGTTTTTTTGGTTTACCCCCCAACCACCTTGGTCCCTGGGCCATCGTGCATTTCGTAAATCCTTCTCGGGTTTAGCACGAACCCTGTGTATCTACTTGTTGTGGGGCTGGCCTCGAGGCTGGCCGGCACAATGGTTCTAGCAGAATAAAACAATTGTGTTCGTACAACTTGTCGCTGACACAGTGCCTAGGCGCGAAGCGTTCTGTCGCTCACTGGCTGTGGTATGCATAATGCGTGGCAAGCATAAATAGGAGCGAATGCGCGGTGCAGTAAAAAACGTAGCGTGTTGTCGCCAAAGCTGCTGTAAGGCAGGAGTCGTGTACCCCCCGAGCCCTCCGACATTGCTCACACCCCGCTCTGTCTTAAAATTGGATGTAAGCTGGCCTCGCGGCTGGCCTGTGTAATGACACTAGCAGACGTGCCAGGGGCAAGGGTAGAAGCAGGCAGGCAGCGAGCATGACAATTGTACGATCTACCTCTCGCTAGATGCGGCAGGCCTGCAAGTACGCCAGCAGCAACATAAACAGAATTACTGTATGCAGTTCTTGGGCTGCTACCATTAAAAGGTCAACAAATGTGCTGCTTGTGCCGGAGCGGTTCAAGAAATTGAAGGTGACCGAAGATGGTCGGTGTCCGCCCCCTCTTCCTCTATAGTCCCATCCTATCAGAATGCCATCCCCCTCCCTGATGCATAGTACGGCTGGCTACGTAAGAGAAAAAGGGCATGCGTTGCCGTCTGGGGGAGGCGTGGCAGTTCTTGGGATGCTGCCCAGGGTTTTTTGAGGTGAATCCCAAACCGTGTATGCGGTATGGGAGACAGAGCAGATGTGAGGTAAGAAATGGAAACGCCAGCAGCGTGAGAGAGGATATTGGATTATTGTCTCCTTTGTCGCTGGCCCCTCGACCTGCCGACCAGAGCAGGTGGAGCAATGCTCAGTGGCCTGCGTCCTGCGGTAATCGAAGCACAGATGGTACTTGTGATCGACGTCGTGGCATCCCTGCCGCATGCTACGGCTGTGAAATGCTCAGCTGTGCTCTGAACGGGCAGTCATGCGTGGTTCTTGCTGCCGTTCGAGCTGGTCTGCGGCATGGGGTTTCGGTGGTGCCTCGAAAATGCGCGGCATTGCCCTGCACGGAGGTGCTGCCTTGAAGGGCACGTTCTGTTGGCTGCTGCGCGTGCGGAGGCTGGCGGGGCACTGCTCGCATCGTGCCTGGTGCGGGGCGTCCCGAGCCAGTGTGCTCGTGGAAGCGTGGGCCCCCTGTGTCGTGCACGGAGGTGCGTCCGCGACTGCCGCCCACGTTGTGTCGCACGTGGGCGGCGCGTCTTCGGGACGCCGTGCGTCTGTGAGTTGGGAAGTCCGTCCAGAAGGTGGCGTACGTTCGTGGCGCAAGGCGGTGCATATCGGTACCGCTTGTAGCCATCGCTGCGTCAGAATACCCTCGTGGGGCGGACAGAGACTGGGTAGTTTGAGCGTCGGAGGTGGTGGGTGCACGGGTATGGCGACCCTAGCTGTAGCTGCAGGTGGCCAGGTAGTAGCGGTCTTTGCGTGTGGTACGGCAGGTGTGTTTCCGGTCCAGTTGTTAATAGTGGTGTGTGCTGTCTTCGGTAGTGGTGTTGTTTTGTTGGTGGAGTGGGTGGATGGCAGTGGTGGTGTTTTTTGGCAGGTGGTGTATGCGTGGTTGGAGGTGGTGCAGGTGGTCCTGCTGGTTTGCCGTTCGTCGTGTTGGTGGTTGTCGGCGTGTCCTCCTTGGTGAAGTAGGAGGATAGCAGTGGTGGAGGGTTTTTGGCAGGTGGGGTATGCGTGGTTGGAGGGGGCGCAGCTGGTGTTGGTGGCTGTCGGCGGCGTCCTCCTCGCTGGTGCTGCGATCGTCTCTCGATTGCGCAGGCCTGATGGTGCTGGGAGCCGCCGTCGGGTTCAATTTTTTTGTAGGACTGCTGCCGTGTCTTAAATATTGACCGCCCAGTCGTACTTCATTTTGTTGTCGTCGTCGTGGCATGAAATGAGCCATCGTGCTACCTCTCGTATTGCTGCAATATTGTTGTGGTTCAGTGGTGCCTGTCCACCTGACAGTCGTACTTAGAAATGCTGACTGGTGATAGTTACTGCAAAGCGGAATGCCGCATGTGCGGTAGTTGCTAGCAAATGCGTCCATGTCGTTACCGTCTCGGAATAAGGTCAGTCGCTTTGGGGGGTTTAGGTGGTGGTAGGAAAGTGCCGGCATGTATGGCGTCCTTGAGCTTGAGGTATTTGGTTTCGGTCGTGGGTGGTGGTTGGAAGGTCGAGAGTGGTGTTGCTCTTGAGTCGGGCCGTGGTGCGGGGTGTAGGAGGTATTGGTCCCCGTCCTGGTGATCGAAGAGCTCGTTGTCGAACTTGTCCAGGTACTTGCTCCATCCTGGTAGCAGTAGATGGTCGTTTGGGAATATGTACGTGTAGGTGTTGGAGCGTTCGTGGTAGCAGAGCGCGTGCCGCGTCGTGCCATCGGTCGTCGTCGTAACCGTATGTGTCCGTGTCGCTGGCGTGGCGGTAGTACGCTGTCCAGCCGCTAGGGCAATACATGTCGTGGTATTTGTTCGGCGGCAGTGAAGTGAGGTAGAACTGATGTGGAAAGCTCGTCCTCCTCCTCCTCCTGTTCCTCCTCCTCGTCCTCCTCCTCCTCCTCCTCCTGCTCTCCTCCTGCCCCCTCCGTACTCATGCTCTTCTCCTACTCCCCCTCCCTCGGCCTCCCTCCTGCTGGCCTCAGGCGCCGCGCCGCGCTCCGCACTGGAATTCTGCCGCGCACGGCAGCTGGGCCGCCCGGCTGCCCGCCGAGCCCCGCCGCTTGTCGCCGGGGCGGGGCCCCGGGAGGGCGCACCACGCCTTCGCTTCGGCAGGGGGCCAGAGGGAGGGGGGCGAGGAGGAGGAGGACGCGGAGGGGACGAGGAGGACGCGGATGGAGACGAGGAGGAGGAGGAGGAGGAGGAGGAGGAGGAGGAGGAGGAGGAGGGGGACGAGGGGGTGAGCGCACCACGCGGGGAGGAGGGGGAGGCCGGGGGGGGAAAAGATACCGATGCCGCGACTCGTCTGGAGATCCTCGGTCGCCAACAGCAGGATTATACCGGAAATGCTGGCCAGATTGCACCGCGGGAGGAGTCCAGGGAGTGGCGATGTCGGTATCCTTCTGTCGCCCCAGGAGGGGCCAGTGGGGGAGGAGTGAGAGGGAAAGACGAGGGGAGGGGTCCTCCTGAGGGTCATTGCTGAGAGGAGAGGAAGGGGGGAGGGGAAGGGGGGAGTGACGAGGAGGAGGGGCGAGAAGGAGGGGGAGGCAAAGAGGAGGCGGAGGTGGTGGGGGGCGAGGGCCTCTGGAAAGGGGTCGGGGGGCGCAAGCTATACGCCTGCGTCGATGCTGGCCAGGCCGACCTTAGGCTCAGGATCGGTGTGTGTGTGTGTGTGTGTGTGTGTGTGTGTGTGTGTGTGTGTGTGTGTGTGTGTGTGTGTGTGTGTGTGTGTGTGTGTGTGTGTGTGTGTGTGTGTGTGTGTGTGTGTGTGTGTGTGTGTGTGTGTGTGTGTGTGTGTGTATTGTGTGTGTGTGGTGTGTGTGTGTGTGTGTGTGTGTGTGTGTCGTGTGTGTGTGTCGTGTGTGTGTGTGTGTGTGTGTAGTGTGTTGTGTGTGTGTGTGTGTGTGTGTGTGTGTGTGTGTGTGTGTTGTGTGTGTGTGTGTGTGTGTGTGTGTGTGTGTGTGTGTGTGTGTGTGTGTGTGTGTGTGTGTGTGTGTGTGTGTGTGTGTGTGTGTGTGTGTGTTTGTGTTTGTGTTTGTGCTTGTGTGTGTGCTTGTGTTTGTGTTTGTGTGTTTGTGTGTGTTTGTGTGTGTTTGCGGTTGTGCTTGTGTTTATGTTTGTGTGTGCTTGTGTGTGCTTGTGTTTGTGCTTGTGCGTGTGTTTGTGCGTGTGCGTGATTAGTGTGCTTGTGATTATGTTTGTTGTTATGCTTGTGCCTGTGCTTGTGCTAGTGCTTGTGTGTGTTTGTGTTTGTGTGTGCTTGTGTTTGTGTTTGTGTTTGTGTTTTGGTTTGTGTGTTTGTGCTTGTACGTGTGCGTGTGAGTTTGCGTGTGCTTGTGCTTGTGCATGTGATTGTGCTTGTGTGTTTGCTTGTGCTTGTGTTTGTGTGGTTGTGCTTGTGCTCGTGCTTGTGCTCGTGTTTGTGTTTTTGTTTGTGTTTGTGTTTGTGTTTGTGTGTGTTTGTGTGTGTGTTTGTGTTTGCGTCTGTGTATGTATGTTCCGTACTCGCCTCCTTTGGCTCAAGGCCACGAGCGGGGCCCCTTCTCGAGGTCTCCCGCACTCGAGGGGGCGCCCGACGCAAGGGGCCCCGTCCCCGCGCCCGCGCCGCCCGGCCCCCGCGGCCGCCGCCTGGCCACCTGCTGGTGTCCGGCCTAGCCATGAACCGTGCGGGGGCCTCCATGGACGGGAACTCCCCCGCCGGGCTTCCAGGAGCTAATGAGGGATGTGCTGGAAGTTCGTGTCTGCGTTCCCCCAGGGTCCCCCCTGAGTACCAGGTTGGGAGCCACCACTCCTGACGGGGCTCTGAGGACAGACCAACGTTCCCTCGACATCATCACTACCTCCCCTTCCTTGGTTGTCGGGGCTCCCATTCAGCCCCTGGGGCTCAGCGTCCTGATCCAGCCCGTGGACATCGCGGTGCCCCAGCCTGCCGCCGTTGGCGCGCCTGCGCAGCACCCCCAATGTGGCGCCGTCGATCATAATGCGCACCTTGGTTCTGGTGCTCGGCATTCCCCCCAGACTTGCGACGACCCTGTGCGCAGGCAGCTCCCGTTGCCGCTAGACGGCAATACCAGCGATGACGAATCCAGTCTGCACCCCCCCCCGTGGGAAGGCGCAGCTTTTCCCCCCATGTCGCAGCCAATGACGGCAGTGAATGTGAAAACGATCTCAGCCCATCCGAGCCCCCACGTCTGGCGCCGGATGCTGGACTCGCGGTCGACCCCCTGCCCAACGACGGATCTCCGCCGCCGAGCAACGGCATCGGCACATCGAGCGGTTCGAGGAATCGCTTGGATGATGAAGCGTCTGGACCTCCGCCACAGAGTTTGACCTCCCCCCCGCGCGGCGGGACGCCTCCAGCGCAGGATCCGCCCCAGGCAGTGGGGGGCTATACCCCCCATCGGCACTCCCGTCCGCTACCCCCCCCTCCGCAACGGCGGCCAGCTCCCCGCCAGCGCCCGACGGTCGCGGGCCGCCTGCAGGACCGTCAGGATCACCGGGCAGAAATGGGAGTGGAAACAGCGGGCGCGCCGACGGAGCAGTCCCCCACTTGGCCCCGCCGCCTGCGGGGGGCCCAGTGACTCTCCTCTCGGGCGGCACTGACGACCTCGACGGGATGCGGAAATCACCCAGGGCCCCCGGGCCCCAGCCCTAGGTCCCTGGAAGTCCCCCCCAAACTCCACCAGGGCTGCCGCGGGACGGTGTTTCCCGCGGTCCTAGGGTGACCCTAAGCGGCGAGGGTCAGCTTGGCCCCCCTTTGCGACTCCGAGGCGGCCAAGAGGGGGGTGTCCAAGAGAGGGGTGTGCAAATCATGACCGGCGGCACGTGCGCGGCCCAGCGGGGGGGCCAGGGACGTAATGAAACAAGAAGAGGCGCCACGAAATCTTCGGAGATGTCATGGCCCGCGCCATGATATCCACCCCCCCCTAGTCATCACCCCCCTCTTTTCCGCCCCCGGCGAAAGCGGCAGCGCATCGAGGACTGGTCCTTCGGCGGGGCGGCCGGAACCAGCTGCGCGCGGGAGGAAGATGCAGGCTGCGCTCTGGACATGCAGGGGCTCCCTCCAGCGCTGCTCCCTCCAGCGCTGGGGGGTGCAATTGCGCGGACACGTAAAATGGCAACAATGCTGATCCGCCTGAGATTGTGGGTGGGGACCGAGCTAGGGCAGAGGCCAGCAGGAGGACAAAGGGGCTACGGCGGAGGAGAAGGAGAAGGACAACGAGAAGGAGGGAGAGGGGGAAGGACGGAGGAGGAGAAAGCAGGGGAAGAAGGAGTATGATTACTCCGGGCAGGATGACCCAGCGATGATTGCCGAACTCAGGTGTGAGTGTTGCCTGAGCAGACGAGGGCTCTCCCCCCGAAGCGATAGGCAGCAGTGGCGGCAACTCCACCAGGGCGTGGGCGTTGCCTGGCCTTCTAGCGCCAGCTCCATGGCCGACGGCGTGTGCCGCCCCACCCTTCTTCGGGATGCCACGCCCGTCGCCCCCCCCCCCCCCAGCCTCGCCTCATTCTCGCCTCCTCGTGCGGCCCCTCCTCCTTCCACCGCCCGCCCCCGCCCCCCACCCCCCCGTCCCCATGCCCCACCTCCTCGCTTTCCCCGCCCGCCCTCCCCCCGAACTGCCTCCTTCCATCGCCCGCCCCCGCCCCCCCGTCCCCATGCCCCACCTCCTCGCTCCCCCCCCCCCCTTCCCCCGAACTGCCCCACGGGGGGAGGGGGAGGGGGAGGGGCCCGGGCGGACGCCCGCGGGGCGGCAGGCCGCCGCGCTGCTCGGGGCCTGCGCGCTGTGGCGGCTGCAGGGCGGCGCTCAGGAGGCGGAGGGCGGCGGGAGGGCCGCCCAGCGGTCGTCGCGCGAGGGTCTGGGAGCGCCTCGGGCGAACTGCCGTTTTTGCGCACCTCCTCGGAAAGTGGGGGCGGGAGGCCTCGGAAGGAGGGCGGGGCGGGGGGAGAGGGGGGAGGGGGCGGGAAGGGGAGAGGGCATGGTCAGAGGCACGGAGCAGGGGGTGGGCGGGTTGGGCGGGTGGGCGCGGCAGGGGAGGTGGGGGGCGGAGCAAAGAGCCAGAGGAAGGGGAGGGGGTGAGGGGCAGGGTCGCGGGGAGGGCAACGCGACGGGGAGTGGGGACGGAGGGGGAGAGCCAAGGGAGCGAGAGAGGGCGACGCGAGTGGGCACAGGCCAGGCCACAGGCACTTGCCCTCCCTTCCAATGTTTCACCCCACCCACCCGTTCCCCTTCACATTCCCTCCCCCCTTGACTTCCCATCTCATGCCGAAGCCGTTCAATGGGCCAGAGCTTTCGTCATGGAATGCCTTTTCCTCCCTCGCACAGTCCATCCGTTTTCCTCCAGCGTGTGGGAGGGCACCGGGAGGAACGAACACAGGCAGTGAGGGTGAGGGAGAGAGAGAGAGAGAGAGAGAGAGAGAGAGAATGCGAGGGAGAGAAGGAGACGGAAGAACCGGAATGGCGGGAAGGAAGGCAGGAATGGCTGGGCAGGAGTGGGTGAGGGGAGCCGGCGGGCAGGCGGGCGACGGCTGCGATGGGCGGGGGGGTCGAGACCCTCGTTGTCGGCGCCGCGCGAGGGTAGCAGGGCATCGGGGCGGCAGCCGGCAGTAGGACGAGCCGTCGTCGTCGTCGTCGTCGTCGTCGTCGTCGTCGCCGTCGTCGTCGTCGTCGTCGTCGTCGTCGTCGTCGTCGTCGTCGTCGTCGTCGTCGTCGTCGTCGTCGTCGTCGTCGTCGTTTTTGTCGTCGTCACTCGTCGTCGTCGTGGTCGTCGTGGTCTTCGTCGCCGTCGCAGCGAGCGCCGCCGTCGCCGCTGCGAGCGGTGGTGCGGCGCAAGCCTCGGCGAGGGCGCGCGGGGCGGGCGGAGCGGGCGCGGACGGGCGGGCCGCAGCGGGCGGCCGGGGCGGGCGGGCCTCGGTGGCCGCGTGGGGGGCGGGCGGGCCCCCTGTGAGGCCGGGGGCGGTCCAGGGCGCGGTCGTCGTCGTCGTCGTCGTCGTCGTCGTCGTCGTCGTCGTCGTCGTCGTCGTCGTCGTCGTCGTCGTCCGTAGGCCCCAAACTGCGGCTCCTTGCAATCCAGGCGGTGCGATGTGCTCTGTGCAATCTGGGCGGTGCAGTCCATATGCGGTGCAGCCCATGTGGTGCAGTCCACGTGGTGCAGAGCAGTGCAACGCAGCGCGGCGGCGGGCGGCGGCGAGCCAGCCAGACCGCCACTGGGGCCCAGCGGCGACTGGCGGCGGCAGGCCAGCGGGACCGCCACCAAGGCCGAGCCACCGTAGAGCACACGCAAGAACCCCCAATCGAGAACTAGCGCTTCTCAGACAGATAGGTCAAAGTTACGTGCACGTCCGCTAACACTGTGTATGTACATGCATGTGGATATGTTCATGTCTGAGCCAACTGTCTACAATATATCCGCCACTCCCTTGGCTTAGCCTTCTGCATCTACTTCTCCGTGCCGCCGATCTCTGCATGCACACTGGTCCGTCACTTAACTCTGCCATCTGTCTATCGATCGAGAAAAGTGCGCTGCTTTCTTCAGTACACATATGTGTGTGACAGCCATCATTTCTAACGAACCTCATAGATCGACACATGGCGCTTGCGACTTGCTTATGCTGGTGTTGTTCGCATGCCTGGTTTCCTATGTAGTGTACTCCGGCCCATCCCGCCAGAGCGCTTCGGTTGTGGTCCAGCGGGAGGGGGCCTCCAGGAGTCTGGCACTGGCGCCCTCGTGAGGCCCGCCTCGGGAGCGGGCTGCGAAGGCCTTACGGCCGGTGCCGCCGACCCTGCATGGCGGCGACAAGCCACGGCCACAACGACGAAGCTCCCGAGGGCCTCCTGGGGGCAGTTTGGGGGCCTCTTGGGAAGCCCTCACCACTGCCCCAGTGGGGCCCGCCTGGGGGCTGTCCTGGGGGCTTCCTGGGCCTCCCTTTTTTTGCCCGAGGTCCAGCCAGCCTTCGGCCATGCCGACAGCAATCCTACGGAAATCTGGGCGCAACTCCATCAGAAATGCGAGGCATGGCTTCGGGCAAAGATGGCTCCACGCTGTTCGGCGAAGCCGGCTCTGGGCAGGCTGCGCCGCCCGGAGAGGGAGGGAGGGAGGAGGAGGAGGAGGAGGGGGAGGGGGAGGAGGAGGAGGAGGAGGAGGAGGAGGAGGAGGAGGAGGAGGAGGAGGAGGAGGAGGAGGAGGAGGAGGATGAGCGAGGGCGAGGAGAGGGAGGAAAAACGCGGCGAGCAGACACGACCAAGCAGGAGGAGAGGGGAAGCGGCAAAGCAGGAGGAGAGGGGAACGGGAGCCTCTTCGAGGGCCGCCTCGGGAGCGGTCTTGGGGCGCCCGTGGGGGCGCCGTGGCAGAGCTCCCCGAGGCGGGCGAGACGCGCGGAGGGGGGCGGACCTCCACGGGCCGGGCGGTCGGGCCCCGGAGGCGGGCGGACGAGCCGGGCCGGCGAGGGGGAAAGGAAGGAGGAGGAGGAGGAGGAGGAGGAGGAGGAGGAGGAGGAGGAGGAGGAGGGGGAGGGAGGAGGGAGGATGGGAGAGGGAGGAGGGAGGGGGGGAGGGAGGACGGGAGGAGGGAGGAGGGAGGAGGAGGAGGAGGAGGAGGGAGGAGGAGGAGGAGGAGGGGAGGAGGAGGAGGAGGAGGAGGGGAGGAGGAGGAGGAGGAGGAGGGGGGAGGAGGAGGAGGAGGAGGAGGAGGAGGAGGAGGAGGAGGAGGAGGGAGGAGGAGGAGGAGGGAGGTAGGAGGAGGGAGGAGGAGGAGGAGGAGGGAGGAGGTGAGGAGGAGGAGGAGGAGGAGGGGGACGAGGCGACACATCCGCCGTCACCCTGACTATCCAGCTTCATTACTTCTACGGTGTCGAGACAGAGAGTGGTTGCAACAGCGCACTGCTCAGTATCACCAGCGCGCACACCGGGAAAGGGAGTTTGGGGAGGCCAGACAGCCACGAGAGTGGCCGGAGGGCAGCCGGCTCGATGGGAAGGCGCAGGGACGGAAGTGCTTGACAACGCCCCGGACCGACGCCAGGCGTCCGAGGCGGAGATTGCCAGGGCACGCAACGTCTGCTGATTGAGTCGGGGATCGTGCAGTGTTTTGGTATAGTGTCATTCGTGTGAGGGAGGCCCCAGATTATTTTCCCCGTCGCAGTCTTGCAAGTAGGGCTTATTGTGGCCGCCGAGAGAGAGAGAGAGAGAGAGAGAGAGGAGTTAGGGCCAGGACGGAGGGCGCATGCCTCCTCCTCCTCCTCCTCCTCCTCCTCCTCCTCCTCCTCCTCCTCCTGCCGCATGTGCCGACCCCGGGCCCAGCAGGGGCCCTGGCCAGGGCTAGTGCTGGGTGCATTGCTGGCGCCCTCCTGCCGAACGGAGAGAGGGGCGGGGGCTAGGCCAGCAAGTCGACGCTGCGCACCGGGGCCTCCCCCGGCGACGACCTCGTAGGCCTGCACGAGTCCTCTGGGCACCACTTGAGGAGCGGCCCCCCAGTCGTCACATTCAACGTCGTCGACGTCGTCGTCGTCCTCGTCGTCGTCGTCTTTGTCCTCGTCCTCGTCCTCGTCGTCGTCGTTTTTGTCGTCGTCGTCGTCTCCGTCTTTTGCGTCGTCCACTTCGTCTTCGTTGTCATCTTCGTCGTTGTCGTTATTTTCCACGGCTGTCTCTTGCGCCGTCGCCATCGCCTCCACCCCCGCCAAATTCTTCCCCCACCGCCTCCACCGCCGTCCTCGTGGCCTCCTCTACCGCCTCTCCGTCCCCCGTCGGGCCGAGTCCGCGTGTGCGTGTGTGTGTGTGTGCGCGTGTGCGCGTGTGCGCGTGTGCCCGTGTGCGCGCGTGCGCGTACGTGTTTGCGTGTGTGCGTGTGTGCGTGTGTGCGTGCGTGTGTGTTTGTATGTGTTCTGTGTGTCTGTGTCTGTGTGTGTGTCTGTGTGTGTTTGCGTGCGTGTGTGTGTGGTGTGTGTGCGCATGAGAACTCCATGCGGAAGCGCCTGCATCCTCTCAGGCTGTTGCACCGCCCCATGACAAGCAAGGGCCCTGGCGCGTTCGTCATATTCCGGCGCATGAAGAGCCAAAAGGAAGGCTGCATCGAATGGCCAGTCGACCCCGCCACTCGTCGCGATCCAGGAAGAATGGGCCCGAGGAGGGCAGGCGCCCGCAGAGTTGCGGGCCGCCCCACGGGCAGAGAGCGGCGGCCGCGCAGGGCGGAGGCGAGATCCTGCCGCCCTTCACCCCCCCCCCCCGCCCTGGCGGCGCACTAGCGCCCGGCGGGCGAGGCGGGCGCGACGGCCAGCCCCCAGGCCGTGGACAGCGTCGCGGGCGCAGCGGGCGACGCCGCGGGCGTCGCCGAGCTCGTGGCCGCGTTCGAGGCGCTGAGAGGCGCGGCCGGGCCCGTAGGGGCTGGGGGCGAGGCGGTGCCCGCTGGAGGCGGAGGTGGTGCGGCGCCGGGCGGCGGGGCGGCCGGCGCTGGCGGGGCGATTGCTGGCTCGGAAGCCGCGGCGGAGGAGGCCGCGGCTGGTCGCGCGCCTACCCGCGGTCCGGCCTTGGGAGGAACAAAAAAAAAAGCGCCCGCCTCTTGCACGTCGGCCCCGCCCCCAAAGCAGGGGAGGCCCGGGGCGACAGGGAAAGAGAGAGGGCCAGGAGCAGGAGCAGGGGGAAGGAAGGGGGGGGGGGAGGAAGAGCAGAAGCCTAGCCGCCGACGTAAAAAGTGCGCTTGTGCGCGTGTGCGCATGTGCGCGCGCGTGGGCGTGTGCCCGTGCGCGCGCGTGCGCGCGTGTGCGTGCGTGCGTGCGTGCGTGTGTGTGTGTGCGCGCGTGCGCGCGTGTGTGCGCGCGTGCGTGTGTGCGTGTGTGCGTTTGTGCGTGTGTGCGTGTGTGGTGTGCGCGCGTGCGTGTGAGCTCCCGTGTCATTGTCTAACTTCGCTTGACCGATGATTCGGTGGCCGCCAATTAGCACCGGACAGCTTGCCCTTCAGTTCATGTCGAGTTGAGTTAACTCTTCTGTTTCCTGGCCGCTGCACGCTCCCGCCTCGGGATGACGGGCCCCCTAGTCCACCGCCCATCGCTTGCATTCCAGATTTGGTTTGCTCGTTCACTGCCCCCTCGGTCAACTCCGATCGCAATTTGCACTTCTATCTGCTGCCCGCGCTTGGGGGCCCTCTGCGCTGGCGATTTGAAAAATTGCGCGCGCGTGCGTGGGTGCGTGCGTGTGTGCCGTTTTTTTTTTCGCGCGTGTGTATATGTACGTGTGGGTGCGCGTGCGCGTGTGGGTGCGTATGTGCGCGTGTGCGTGCGTGCGCGCGTGCGTGCGTGAAAGCGCGAGAGTGTGTGAATGTGTGTGTGTGTGTGAGTGCGTGTGCGTGTGCGTGTGTGTGTGTGTGTGTGCGTATGGTTGCGTGGGCGCGAGCGCGTGTGCGTGCGATGTGTGGTGTGTGATGTGTGGTGTGCGGTGTGCGGTGTGCGGTGCGTGGTGCGTGGTGTATGGTGTGTGCGTCTGTGCGTGTGTGTGCGTGTGTTGGTGCGCGCGTGCGCGCGCGCGTGCGTGCGTGTGTCGGTGCGTGCGCGCGTGCGTGCGGGTGTGTGTGTGTGTGTGTGCGTGTGTGCGTGTGTGTGTCTGTGTGTGTGTGGTTGTGTGTGTGTGGTTGTGTGTGT